TCAAAGCCATGTGATGACTTCTGCCATCCTGTGTCTAATAGATACCCATCGTTTCCTTCAGAAATTCCATATTACGGAGGCATCTTTTCCTCTTTGGGGACACCCATATTCAACACAGCAGTGGTTTCTACTCTCAAAACAAACTGAAAGATTGAGTAGACAGAATGTTCTTGCTGTTTGCCAAAAAATGGGAAGGTCACTGAGGACTGTTGGGCAAGACCCAAAAGTCCTACAGGGAATATGCAGTGTGTCAGCGTTTCCTCAGACATTTGTCTCAGCATTGTTCATGCTAAAAACAAAACAAAACAAAGAAATGTTTGTACATAGAGAGAGGTACACAGAAATATAGAGAGAGGTATATATTCAGAGGCACACAGAAAAATACCTGAGAGGAGATCCATTATGTTGATAGTGCGCATTTCATGGCTCTGGGATTATGGCCTTAGTTTTATTTATTTATTTGTATTCTTATTTAATCTTCCAGAATTTTCTGCAGTGAATATGGCATAATTTAAAAACAGGGTTTTCAAGTATACACGCGCAATGTTACACATGCTCTTAAAGGGAAGTCACATAGCTCCCTACAATCTGGAAGTCAGAATATCTATCGTAAAATTGCTTAACTTAACCTTTTACCTGTAATATCCAACTTTAGTGTCTCATTTGCAAAACTTTGAGATGAAAGGTACATGGAACCTAGATGAGATATTGAGATTTAAACAAGAGGATTTTCTATTCAGATAAGTACATATCGGATTCTCACCTTCAGTGGGCACTGTGGTAATCGCCCTAGTGTCCATTCCACAGCTCCCTCACTGTGTAGGGCAGATTCTAACTGAACTGAACTGTTCCAGATAACGCCATCTGGCTCACCCACTGTTTTCTGTCTCCCAACCTGGGCAAAATGCTCTAATTTCATTTTATGAATTTTGTCAAGTGGCCTGTTAGTTGTGTCTTATTTTTGTAATTCTAATCACGTATAATTCTATGTTTTCATTGGGTGTTTGGAGGCTATCATCAAGGGGTCAGATTTTCTGCCACTTTTCCTGCTGACAAAGGGAGCAAACAAAACACCGACTTAATCTCTATGGTAATATCTTACATGGTAATTTTCATATAGTATCCTGTACATAATTATAACCAACACTCAACTGCCCCTGAAGAAAATTCACAGTGAACTTTCAAAACACAGTTTAGAAACAAATTAAAAGACAGAATCGTTTTTAAAAAATATTCTATTGCCCTGTGCAGTTTTACTCAGCAGTTAGAGCACTGGCCAGCAGACCAATGAGTTGCGGGTACATGTCAAGGGCATGTACTTCAGTTGCGTTTTGACCCAGCCCTGGTCAGGTCCTGAGAGAGGCAACCAGTCATTGTGTCTCTCTCACATCCATGTTTCTCTCTCTCTCTCCCTCCCACTCTATCTGATGATAAATAGGAAAATATCCTTGGGTGAGGATTAAAAAATATATTTTATTAAGTTTGTTGGGATGACACTAGTTAATAAAATTATACAGGTTTCAAGTGTATCACCTAATTTTTGTTAAGTGGAATGTATGTATGTAGCTGTAAGAAAGAATGAGGACATTCTCTATGAGCAGAAATGGAGAGATCTTCAGAATGGAATGTTAATTTCAGAGAGAAAGCTGCAAGCTGATCCATCTTGGCATCTCTAAATGTGAAGCAACCAGACAATTGTGATGGGATCTGAAACTCACAGCCCTAGTTGTGAAATATTCTTATCAAACCTCTAGTGCTAAGTTTCATTTATAGAAAACAGATAGAAAAGAGAAACAATTTGAATGACACTGCAAGTGAACAGACAAAACCAGAATATGGAACATTCCACAGGGCAACTGGCTTACAAACCCAGTCAGTGTGAGGGGAGGGGGAGGAGGGAAAACTCCTAGATTAAAAGCAGTTAAGAAACCTAACACCAAAGTGCAATGTAGGAACTTTTCTGGGTCTAGATTTTTAAAAACCTATTCTAAGATAACATTTTAAAATTTTATTTAACTTAATTTAGGATTAAGAACCACTTTCTTTATTTATTTCATTACTGTTTACTTTCCATATTATTTTGTATTGGTTTCAGGTCTACAGCATAGTGGTTAGACAGTCATGTACTTTAAAAAGTGTACCCACTTGCCCTGGCCGGTTTGGTCAGCGGTTAGAGCGTCGGCCTGCGGTACAGAGAGACCCGGGTTCGGTTCCTGCTAAGGGCACGTACTTCGGTTGCAGTTTGTCCCCGGCCCTGGTTGGTCGTGCGGGTGGCAGCCACTCGATGTGTCCCTTCACGTCGATGTTTCTCTCTCTCTCTCCCTTCCTCTCTCTCTCCCTCCCACTCTATCTGTACAAAAAAATGGAAAATATCCTCGGGTGAGGATTAAAAAAAAAAAAGTGTACCCTCCCCACTCCCCTCCCCAATCAGGCCGGTTTGCTCAGCGGTTGCGTGTCAACCCATGCACCAAGAGGTCGCCAGTTCAAGTCCCAGTCAGGACACATACTCAGGTTGTGGACCCAATCCCCAGTGAGGGGTGTGCAGGAGGCGGCCAGTCAATGTTCTCTCTGATCGATGTTTCTATCTCTCTCTCCCTCTCACTTTCTCTCTCTCAAATCAATACAGGAAAAAAAAGAAAACACAGGTTTAAAAAAATAATAAAAAATAAAAATTGTACCCCCAGTATTTCCATACATGACTACCTGGCACCATACTTGGTTATTACAATGTTATTGACTGTATTTCCATATATGCTATATTTTACATCCACATAACTATTACCAATTTGTACTTCTTTTTTTTTTCCTTTTAACCATTTTGTACTTTTTAATCCCTTTGTCTCTTTCACCCAATTCCCCACTCCTCTCCCCTCCAGCAGCCACCAGTCCTCTCTCTGTGTCTGAGTCCGTTTCAGTTTTGTTTGTTTGTTTATTTTGGAGAACAGTTTTTAGATAATCAGGGGAATTTGCTATAAACTGAAGAATTAGGTGCAATTGGATAGTGCAAGATAAAGGTACAAGGATGGGCATCATAATGTTTGCAATCATTTCTTTAAAGTCCAGAAAGCCACTGCAGGCCGGAGAACATTTCTCGAACTCTCCCTGCAGTGAGAAGCGACTTCTTAGAGAGAGGACAGTGCAGTCGGTGGGGCAGGAAGGTGGCAGAGTGACCCTCGCCGATGCCCAGTGGGAGAGGCCTGGCCACAATGTTGGCTGATGTTTTGTTCTTCATTAGCAGCTTTACTGAGGGAGGATTCACACACCACATACTGTTAGTAAATATGAGCCCTGAGCCCATGGCTAATCGACTCTACCTTACACTTGAATATGAGCATTTGCTGGTTGGTATTGTCAGGTGGGCAGACCTATTAAGGGCAAATATCAAATTCATGAAACATAGTTTACAGTGGACACATCTGGAGCTTAGGGACTTGCGTTTTTATTTGAAATTTGTCAATGATGTGCCTTTGTGAGATCTTTCCAGGCCTCAGTTTCCCTGTGTATAAAATGAAGAAGTTGACGGTGATCTCCTGAGTAGCTCTAGCTCTGTGACGCTGTGCAAGTGCAAACACTGAGCAAGCTGGGGATTTGCATGAAATGCACTTAATGGCATAAAGACGGGAAGCAGGGTATTCAGGAAGGAAAGACAGAGGCCACGGAGTTTGAGAAACTCTTCGGTCTGTGATCTCACTTGTCTTTTTTAAAGAACCCTTGGCTTTGCCCGGCCGGTGTGGCTCAGTGATGGAGCGTCAACCAATGCACCAAGAGATCACTAGTTCGATTCCCAGTCAGGGCACATGCCCAGGTTGTGGACCCAATCCCCAGTGGGGGGCATGCAGGAGGCAACCAAATGATATTCCTCTCATTGATGTTTTCATCTCTCTTTTCCTCTCCTTTCCTCTCTCTCTCTCTCTCAAATCAATAAAGAAAAGAAAAGAAAAGAAAAAGAATCCTTGGCTTTTAAGTATTCCAGGCTGAGACTGTGGGTCTGAGATGTTACCGCAGTGATGGAGAGTGTGGCTGTCATTCAATACGTTCCATCAGTTGATGCCAGAAGCCCCTGGGGTGGGTGGGGAAGGGACATCTTGTGTATATGAGATGAAACCATATTAACGTCCCCTTAATTCCACCACAGGAGGGGAAAAGAAGCGTTGTCAGAAGAAGTGGAAGAGTTTGAAAGGTCAGGTCTAAGTCAGGATATGAACACAAATTCCTCATTTTGTAAGTTTTATAAATAAGGAAACCGAGATCCAGCAAGGCTGTATGACGTAGGCCAGTTTGTGTTGGAACAAGGCTAAGAATTAGGCTCCTGAGAGAGTGGAAAGGGCCCGTAAAAGTGAAGATAAGGGCCCTGGCCGGTATGGCTCAGCGGTTAGAGCATCAGCCTGTGGACCGGAGAGCCCCGGGTTTGGTTTCCACCAAGGGCACGTAACTTGCTTGCAGTTTTTCCTGCCCTGGTTGGGTTCATGTGGGTCTTGATGTGTCTCTCTTACATTGATGTTTCTCTCTGTCTCTTCCTCCCTTTCTCCTGCCTGTTCTATTTGAAGATAAATGCAAAAAAAAAAAACGAGTCCTCGGGTAAGGATAAAAAATAAAAATGAGGATAAGGAACATGCTATTCATGGTGGTATTCTCCAGCTCCTAGTCCAGTGCCTGACACATAGTAGGTGCTTCATAAGGAATGATCACGACTGACTTTCTGAGTGAATGCATGTGTTTCTGCCTTGTGTTCTCTGGTAACCAGCTGTACCCAGACACAGTCTATTTCAAGCAGAGGGCTGTTTCATTGAAGGTATCAGAAGGCTTTCTACTCGCTGAGAGATGCTTTGATTTTTGAGGGTATCACTTTTTTCCCTGAGTATTGCTTCCTCTTTGTTGATAATAACAGGATAAGTAGCAGAGCCCTTACAGGATGTGTGATGTAGCATGACAGAGAACTGGGGTTTCCTTTGATGTGACTGTAGACTTGGCAGCGTTAATAGAGGAATGATCAGTAGTCTGAGGTCGTGGTGTGCTGGGCTGGCTGTCAGGGAAGTGGTCACCAGTCCTGTGACTGTGGAGTCGAGACGCAGCTGCAAGAAGAAAACGGCACCTCAACAGAGCCATCTTGGGCTTTTCTTATCACCCATGTTTTCACATCTCTCCTTCGACTGTGTCCTTCTGTGGCTGCTACTACTCACAAGTAAGTGTGCACATGGACTTTTGCCCTGGGATAGTGCAAGTTAAACATACAAGGTTGGTCTTTGTACTGTTTGCAATAGCGAAAGTTTGGAAGGAGCCTCGGTGTTCTCAAACAGGGAAGTGGACAATAGAAATAAATTGTTATATATCTATGAACCATAAATCTGGCTAAACATAATGTTATGAAATGTCTCTAAGTCAATGTTAGTGTTATAAAAAAAAAGAGGAACAATGCGTATAGTAGACTTTTTTGGTCCATTTGTACTGTAGGGTGTGGGACCACACAGATGCTTCTTAGTATCTGGGGAGCGGAGCTAGGACATGGGTCAGAGCAGAGGGGGACTAGACTTTCCATACACCTTTTACACTGTTCAACTGTTTTACAATGTATGTTTATTTTTTTTTTAAGCAATTAATTTAAAAACTGAAAACAGTAATATCGTAGCTTCATTTTCAGGCAAGGGTTTTTATTCATTATGTGCCTGGTGCTTAAAAAAAAGAGAGAGAGAATTGTCTTAGGATAAATGCCCTTTGCTGATGGAGAGACAACCAGCCCAAATGGCTGAACTGTTTCCAGGCTGACAATGACGCTCTAATTCCGTCAGCCCTGCCCTCCAGCGTTCACAGGACGGGTCACAGCCCCCTCCTAGAGCACTGCTTCTCAGCGTGAGTTTCCAGAAGCAGCCATGGAGCCATCCCAGGGAACTTGTTAGAAATACAAAGTTTTATGCCCCATCCCAGACCTGCGAAGTCAGGAACTGATGAGCCCAGGCTTCTGTGCTTTAACTAGACTCCCAGGGACTCAGGTGCCCCTCAAGTCTGAGAGTCATTGCTCTAGTGGATCCTCCTTCAAACAGGACAGCAGCAGTGGTTTCTTTCTGTTTTTATCCTCACCAGAGGACATTTTTGCATTTATCTTCAGATAGAGCGGGAGGGAGAGAGAGAGAGAATCATCGATGTGAGAGAGATACATCGACTGCCTGCCACCCACACGACCCAACCAGGGCCGGGGACAAACTGCAACCGAGGTACATGCCCTTAGCGGGAACCAAACCCGGGTCACTCTGGTCCACAGGCCGACGCTCTAACCACTGAGTGAAACAGCCAGGGCAGCAGTGGTTTCTTCTTTATGCTACAAGGCATTGTTTGAAAAAATTTTTTTAAATATTTTTTCTTTATTAATTTTAGAGAGAGAGGAAAGGAGAGGGAGAGACAGAAACATTGATGAGAGAGAACATTGACTGGCCGCCTCCTGCATGCCCTCCACTGGGGACCGGGCCCACAGCCCGGGCATGTGCCCTGACTGGGAATTGAACAGGCGACCTCCCGGTGCATGGGTCGATGCTCAACCACTGAGCCACACCAGCTGGGCTTACTAGCACTTTTCCTGAAGTATACCAATCTCACTCAATGCCTCTATCTTGCTCTTCTTTTCTCTTTATTTAGGGTCTTTGGAAGGGTCCCTCACAGCCGAGGTGGGTCAGAATGCTCGCCTGCCCTGCTCCTACTCTCCAGCCACCTCTGAGGACATTGTGCCTGTGTGCTGGGGCAGGGGCCCCTGTCCTGCCTTTCAGTGTCATGGTATGCTGCTCAGCACTGATGGGAGAAACTTGAACTCCCAGATATCCAGCAGATACCAGCTAAAGGGGAATATCCACGAAGGAGATGTGTCCTTGACCATAGAGAAGGTGACTTTAGCTGATAGCGGGGACTATTGCTGCCGCATCCAATTCTCAGGCCTATGGAATGATAAAAAATCAAACCTGAAGTTGGACGTCATACCAGGTGAGTGGACCTTTGCATACTTTCTTTATTAATAATCACCTGATTATTAATATAAATATACTGATTGGTCTCACCACTGACTTCTCCAAGTGCAGCCCTGGTGGTGGGCCCCTAAGACCTACAGACCCACCAGCAATGCCCAGCCAAGTTTAATTCCTCCACCTATACTGCAACTCATGGATGGGATCTATCAAATGGGAGGAAAGGCCTAGATCAGTGGTTGGGACCCTGACTGCTCATCGGATTCACCTAGGGAGGTTTTTAACACCTATAGATGCTTGAGCCCTGTGCACAGACCAGAGAAACCGTCCTCTCCAGAGGTAGAACCTCAGCACTGGGATTTTATCAAGTCTTCCCCACTGAACTGTGCGTGTGTGTGTGTGTGTGTGTGGGGGGTTGGGGGGGTGCATGAGCTTGTATGTTTTAAGATTTATAGAGCATGAACTTTGTAGCTGATGGAGTTGAGTTCAACTCCAACACTGCCTCTTACGAGCTGTGCAATGTTGGACAAGTTACAGACACTGTATGACCTTCTCCTTAATGAAATATGATAAAACCTACCATGGAGACTGTTGGAAGGATTTTAGGAGATAGTTTATGAAAAGTATTTAGTATATGGCGGTTAGTTCCATTATTAACAATTAGACTGTGATAATGATGAGTGTAACATAGTTGTTTTTTTAGAAATATGATTTTATTAAAGAGGAAGGGAGAGAGAGATAGAAACATCAATGTGAGAGAGAAACATTGATTGGCCGTTTCCTGCACACCCCCTACTGGGGCTGGAGCCCACAACCCAGGGGTGTGCCCTGACTGGGAATCAAACTGGCACCTCTTAGTCCATGGGATGATGCACAATCCACTGAGCCACACCGGCCGGGCAGTAACACAGTTTTTCAAATGTGTAATGAGCATTTTAAATGTGTAATGTACTCTCAGGGAAGGTGTCCAGGTTTGAAAGTTGAGCACGTGTTTCTCTTTATTTGTTGCCCATTTGATTTTTGTTTTCAAGCGAAAGCGAAATTTATTTGAAAAATAGGCTCCCTGTTGCAGGGAGGGGACCCAAGTGGGTTGCCACCCCTTTGGTTTTTGGAAACAAACTGTCTACTGTCAGAGAAGCCTCATCCTTACATTGCTTTCTGACGTTAGCCAAGGTCACCCCTGCTGGGACGCCGTGGAGAGACTTCACTACGGCCTTTCCAAGGATACTCACCACCGAGGATCATGGCTCAGGTGACTATACACGGGGTGCAGGAGGAAGCGTGTAGGTGGTTTCTGAGTTTGGGAAATTTTGAATATGGGGGATAATGAGGACACAGTTTAGGAGTGGAATATGAATGTTTGTGTGCACATGAGACAGTTTCAGGTTGGGGGGAGAGGGGAGACAGACCCATGCTGGGAAAATGAGCCCTGGGCTCGGAGCTGGATCAGTCACCACCTGGCCCAGGGCCACCACCTTTCACTTCTCTGACCTCAGCCTTCTTTTCTGTCTGGAGAAGTTTGGATTTCATGACCCAGTAAAATTCCTGACCTCCACCTAAAAGAATTTCAATCTACATATTTTTCCAAGTAAGGAAAGTAAAATTTCTATGTAATAATGCCATCACTGAAAAAAAAGGACAGACTTTTACATTAAGAAAATTTAATCTGCCCCGGCTGGTTTGGCTCAGTGGTTAGAGCGTCGGCCCACGGCCCCGAGAGTCCCGGGTTTGGTTCCTGCTGAGGGCACGTACCTTGGTTGCAGTTTGTCGCCCGCCCCGGTTGGGGTTGTGTGGGTGGCAGCCACACGATGTGTCTCTCTAACAGTGATGTTTCTCTCTCTTCCTTCCTCTCTCCCTCCTGCTCTATCTGAGGGTAAATGCAACGATGTCCTCAGGTAAGGATAAAAAAAAAAAAGGAAAAGAAAATTTAATCTAATGAAGAACTTTTTTTTTTTTTTTTGGTTGATTCTAGAGAGAGGAAGGGAGAGGAGGAGAGAGATAGAAACATCGATGAGAGAGAACATCGATCGGCTGCCTCCTGCGTGCCCCCCATTGGGGATTTGGCCCACAACCTGGGCATGTGCCCTGACCGGGAATTGAACCAGTGACCTCTTGGTGCAGGGGTCGACGCTCAACCACTGAGCCACACCAGCTGGGCTAATGAAGAACTCTTTACATTGTACTATTATTCCTGGTGATAGTTTGTCTTGAATTGGCCCCAGTCCATGTTCAGGGTTGAATTAGGTGATTTCCTGCACCTCTTCTACCTGGAATAAAGCCCAGCATCCTCCTCAGATTTTGATGCCAGTAAGAGCAGCTTCATTCTTTAAGTAATTCAGCAAAGACTTTTCCGTGCTCCTCTAGAGGAAAAGTAGGGTTAGACAGCAGACTTCAGGTGACATTGATCAGAAAGGTTAATCTTAAATGTTTTCTCTCAGAGAACTGGTCTCTCCTAAACTCTCTGTAGTCTGGAGCTCAGTTTTTTATTCCTTAAAATGAAGTTAAAGATAAGTAAATCTGATTTCCTAATGTCATAAATTTCAATAAGTTGCATTTTATGAGATTTAAATCAGAAGTGTGATTAAAGTATTTAGCCAGTATCTGATCATAGTATACATTCGATGCATGTTAGTTGTTGTTGTTAACGTGAACAGTAAGAACCAGAGGCAGGGTGCGAGTGTGGGGAGTGCGTCAGTGACGGGTAGGATGGGCTCTCCTGTCAGCTCTTCATACGAGATCTGTGAACTCGGTCACGTTGCTCAAACTCTGAGAGGCTCAATGTTCTCACCTCCGCAGCGTCTATTTCACATGACTGTTGTAAAGATTGAATGTGCTAATGTTAGTGAAGATCTCAGCATAGTACCTGGCTCGCAGAAAGCTTTCAAAATGACTTATCATTATAGTTGTTAAGTTCAGCTCTCAAGGTTTATTCTTTGGTGGTTCTTTAGTGATTGTTCGCCACCATCCTGTATGCAGTTAGTGAGGAAATGAAATATGGTGGGAACAGATGATCACCCACAGTGTGGGCTGATCAAGTAACACCAGATATTTATTGTATGCTATTATTATATTTTTTAAAATCCTATAACCTAGAAGGGACTTCAGGGGTCACTTTACCCCACTGTCTCATCCTGTTCTCCAATGTTCTCTATTTTATTTTTTATTTTTATTCCTCACCTGAGGATATTTTTCTACTTATTATCAGATAGAGTGGGAGGGAGGGAGAGAGAGAGAGACAGAGAGAAACATCGATGTGATAAAGCCACATTGATTGGTTGCCTCCCGCATGACCTGACAGGGACGAACTGCAACCGAGGTACGTCCCCTTGACTAAAATTGAACCTGCGACTCATTGGTCCGCGGGCCGATGCTCTAACCGCTGAGCAAAACCAGCCAGGGCAACTCCAATGTTCTTTATAACCTCACCACCAAGTAGACATTCACTCTGTGCCCACACACGTCCCTGAATGGGGAGTTCACGTCCTCATGAGGCAGAACATTTCTTTACGGTTGTCTGTGCCATAGACAGAAGTCTCCTTCCTTTCAGGTTTTACTTGTTTGTTCCTTCTCTCTGGGCAACACACAGGGGCTATCTCTTGCATCACAGAATATAGACACAGTACCTATAATGGCCGAGCTTTTCAAATACCCAAGAAAATATTTAAACAAACTAAAAAAGGCAATTCCTTCAAAATAGGAAAATAAAATGAAAAATTTGAATTAATGATATTTAATTACATATCTACACTAGGTAACATTATGTCAGTTAGTTATCCTCAAGTCAACTCATACGTAGTTATATACAGTCATCCCTTGCCACTCGCTTCGACTTTTGCGCTTCATCTTATTGCGTTTTTTTTTTTTCCAAATACTAGACTAGACTATATTTGGAAAAACTGCAATAGAGTGCAGCCGGGAAAGTTGCAGCGTGAAGGGGAAGGGAGGACTGTATATAAATAAAGAATCCTTCTCCGAGGAAATTCATTTATCGCGGTAGAGTCTGGAACTGATTAACCGCGATAAATGAGGGCCGACTGTATCCCTTTTATTTAATGTGGCATGTGGGCACGTTTAATATGTTTGCAATAAAGTGGAATGGAGCTTAGTAAGAGTTCCAAGGATCCTGGAAGCTCCTAAATCCACCTTGAATACAGAACAAAAGCAATCTCTCTTCCACCTGAAGGAGGGAGGACTGGGTCATTGGGTCATGGGTAAGTCTTCAGCTCTGGAGGACTTTGAATCTCAGGTTTTCCAATGAACAGTTTTGGTTTGTTTGTTTGTTTTGTTTTGTTTCTTAGATTTTTATTTACTTTTTAAATTTTCTAGGGAGAGAGGAAGGGAGAGGGAGAGAGAGATAGAAACATCGATGAGAAAGAACATCGATTGGCTGCCTCCTGCATGCCCCCCACCGGGGATTGGGCCCACAACTTGGGCACGTGCCCTGACCGGCAATCAAACCGGTCACCTGTTGGTACATGGGTCAGGGCTCAACCACTGAGCAACACCGGCTGGGCTTTTTAAAGATTTTTAAATGTTGATTTTTAATGAGAGTGGAAGGGAGAGGGAGAGAAAGAGAAACATTGATATGAGAGGGAAACATCAATTAGCTGCCTCCTACATGCCCCCTACAGGGGATCAAGCCTGCAACCTGAGCATATGCACTGACCGGAAATCGAACCCGCAACCTTTTGGTGCACAGGATGATGCCCAACCAAAGTGGGCCACACCTGCCAGGGCAGATTTGCCAATTAATAGCTGTGTGATCTTGGGCAAAGTACCTCTCTGAAGTGTAATTTTTTCATGTGAAAAATGGGAAAATAATAGTACTTACCTATTGTGGTGAAGATTAAAAGAGATTGTGCATGTAAAGTACTAGGCACCACGTCTGGCACATAATACATGCTGGATGACAACGATGAAATTTATATACTTTTAAGACCATCACATCCCATCCTCATTTCTGCCTCCACCACAGCCAAGTCTTGGGTTCCCTAGGAAAATGATTACAACCTCAACTTCCTCCAACTTTCCACCATCTCGGTTGATGACTATCCATGTGAAAATAAGCCATGATGACCTAAAAGGACTCTATTTTGTTGGTCATTTTCACTGCAAAATAAAGTGGGGGGGAAAAAAAAAAGGGGGAAGAGGAGAGAAGTCAGAAAGTTTTACCATTTAGGCCAAGAAAAATAAATATAGGGAAGCAGAAACTAGATTTACAGTAGAAAATCTTGGGTGTGGTTAAGATTTATGTTTACTTAGTAGTTCCACCAATGTGGTTCGTATATTTTAAATTTCATTTGGGAAATAAAAACAAAGGTGAATTTTTTTTTCTTTTCAAAGAGAGAGAGAGAGAGCGCGAGAGCGAGAGCGAGAGAGAGAGACATCTATTTCTTATTCCACTTATTTCTGCATTCATTGGTTGATTCTTGTATGTGCCTTCTTGACCGGGATCAAACCCAAAACCTTGGTGTCTATCTGGATAATGCTCTAACCAATAGGACTTTAAAAAAATTTTTTTAGGCTGCGACTTTGCTCATAAAATATTAAAATCATAGTCTGTTAAACCAGGGGTTCCATATTAAAGGATTTAGACGTTTAAGTCTCTGGAAAAGTAACTATGACGCAAGAAGTTTCAGAGTCTCTGAGTGAACTAGAAACATGAGAAGGCTTACTTTGTTTTCCTGAAGCTGACAGTCCTTAGGATGCAGTCTATGAGGTGAGGGCCTGTGCTCCTCTTGGTCACTGCTCTGTCCCCTGTGCCTGACAGAGTAGGTGTATAGTACATGTTCATCGAATAGGTAGGCAGATGAATAAATAAACAACAGGGAAGGCAAGCTGGCAGCTGGGCGATGTGCTGCACTTCTTAGTAGTGACAGTGCCAATGTGAAGGCAGCAGAGTTGAGTGTATGCTTAGATTTACAATAGCCCAGATACAGATACTTACCTGGCAGGGGAGATACCATGATCACAAAGGTGGTTTTCCCAGGGCGAAGCTTATCCATTGCCCTCCGGATGTGCTGACCCGTGTGATTTCCCCAAATGTGGGAAACTCGACTGCATTAATAAAAAGATTTTAAAAAATTATCCAGATACGGAAGTGACCTAGGTGTACATCAATGGATGACTGGATAAAGAAGATACATATATACATAATGGAATATTATTCAGCCACAAAAACAATGAAATCTTGCCATTTGTGACAATATGGAAGGAACTAGATGGTATTATGATAAGTGAAATAAATCAGACAGAGAAAGACAAATACCTTATGGTTTCACTTACATGTAGAATCTCAAAAACCAAAACAAATGAACAAACAAAACAAAAACAGACTCATAGCGAGGGATCAATCTGATGGTTGCCAGGCTGGGGGGAAGGTGAAAAAGGTGAAGGGGAATATAATCATAATATTGTGATAAATTTCCACAGCGACAAATGATTACTAGACTTACTGTGGTGATTACATTGTAAGGTATGTAAACAAATCACTATATTGTACACCTGAAATTAATATAATATTGTATGCCAAATATACTTAAATTTAAAAAAAAAAGTGTACACTAAAGCCATGCAGACCTAAATTGGAAGACCATTTATTTCTGTCATTCACGAAGCTGTGTGACCTTGGTTAAGTCACTTTCTAATTCTCGGCTTCTTCATCTATGTAATAGAGCGAATTGTCCCTACTTTAGGGTAGTTGTTCTGAATACTAAATGAGATACTTCAAGAGTTCAACATCATGGCTGCTCATGGTAAATTGTGGCGATAGTTATTGTATTTTCACTTTTAGGCCACCAAATATCCTGTCTCCCTTTATTGAGAAAATGCCAAACTTTTTCAAGAAAATCAACTTTTGTTGTCTGTTGAAGTCTAATTACAATATAATGCCTGCTTGAGTGTTATCAGTGTTGGAATTTTGCAAACCCCATTAGGGCTCTGTGGACACAACAAACTACACATTCAACATAGGTCTTCCTGGAAGAAATCTCCATTTCATAGAACTTAAGTAGCTGGGTTCATCACCTGGGTAAAAAAATCCTAAAGTTAATTGGTAAGTGTCCAGTAAATTTTGTTGATCTCCCAATTACTTATCGTGAAGAGTATGGAGTAGAATTAATTTCAAATAGGATTATAGGCATCTTTAAGATTTTTTAAAACTCAGGTAAAAGAAAACATTTTTAACTGTTTTACTGGTTATTCTTCCTCTTTGTGACAGAGACACAGACACTGGAGACCCTCCATGATAAAAATCAAACAGTAAGTAACGTGTGTGTGTGTGTGTGTGTGTGTGAGCTAACACTGTTTAACTCAGAGGAAAAAAGTATGGTTTTACCCTTCCTTCCCACTCTTTCCTTGGGGAAAAATGCCTTGCTCTTCCTTGGTGTCTGATTCCTTGACAGTAACATGTTGATGACCACAGGCCTCACTGCTGTAACGTGGGCCTGCTGTAAGCATGGAACGCAGTGGTGCATGCAAAGTGCCTGGCACATAGTAAGTGTCGCAAAACCAGAGAAGCATTAGCATTTTGTCCCTCTTCCCAAAGTTCACAGCTGTATACCACTGTGGACGATTCAGAGACCTTCCACCTCCCCAGAACATATTTGTTCTTGCTTCCATTGCAATCCAATGGAAAAAGATTATTTTTTCTTTAAATTGATTTATTTATGTAGGACAAGATACCAGTCAGGAATATGCTAAGCCAGGAATTTATATATCTAACTATAAATTATAAAATATTACAATGAACGATGATTTTAGTGTTCCCCACTGTGTTAGAGTAAAAGGGAAACCTTAGAAAGTAAACTTATAGCAATGACTTAAAAATTCTTTGAGCTGTCCTCATTCATTTGACTCAGTCTCCCACCTGTGTGTTCCCAACTGAGGCTCAACGTTTTGTATTTGTCCCACTCTTTTGTTCAAGCACTGCCTTGTAAGTACCTCTGTGTACCCATGATGCTTGATGCCCAGTACTCTGCATATAACACTCCTGCAGTAAATGTTATTGAATAAATGGAAGATTGCCCTGGCTGGTTTGGCTCAGCGGTTGGAGTGTTGGCCTGCGGACCAGAGAGTCCCAGGTTCGGTTCCTGCTAGGGGCACATACCAAAAAAAAAGATAAAAAATAAATGGAAGATTTAATTTTCTTGACTTCTTTGTTTTAAAAATGTTTACTATAGCCCAGCCAGTGTTTCTCAATGGTTGAGCATTGACCCATGCACCAAGAGGTCACTGGTTTGATTCCCAGTCAAGGCACGTGCCCAGGCTGTGGGCCCGATCCCCAGTTGGGGGCATGCAGGAGGTGGCCAATCAATGCCTGTTATTGATGTTTCTATCTCTCTCCCTCTCCCTTCCTCTCTCTCTAAAATCAATAAAGAAAAACAAAAGTGTTTACTATATAGCCCAGCTGGTGTGGCTCAGTGGACTGAGTATCATCCCATGGACTGAGAGGTCCCGGTTTGATTCCTGGTCAGGGCACATGTCCTGGTTGCTGGCTCGATCCTCAGTAGCGGGCGTGCAGGAGCAGCCAATTGATGTTTCTCTCTCTTGCTAAAAAAAAAAATCAATGAAAACATATTTTTTTAAAAAGTGTTTACTATTGATTTTAAAGGGAGAACATGGACTAAAAATTTAGAAGGAGAGTTTTATCTATGTGACTCTCAGTTATCAAAAAATTAGATTAATTACAGCAATAGCTATACATATATTTTGATTAAGCATTTATCATGTATCAGGCCCTATGCCAAGCGTTTTATATTTTTTGTCACTTAATTTTCCCAATAACTCTATAAGGTGAGGCAGCTCTTGGTGACATTGCTTGGATTTGAACCCAGAACTGTCTGGCTTTTAAGCCATAGTCTTTCTGTGAAAACAGCAGTTTCACTGCAAGACACCAAATTTAGACCACTCTGAAACTTTATAGGAATACAAGGGGATCTTGAATGAAGAGGATGCTACTCTAAAGCCCATTTCTGTTTATGGGAGAAGGGAATTTATTTACTAAGAGCTCCTTTTTCACACAGCACAGGACACAGGTAACTCTAAAGATTAAGTTACTCCCTTTCTTCGGGTGTTTTGAGCCATGTCTGGAAGGGAACAGATCAAGGATGGCTTCAAGGTCCATGCACTCCTGTGATGCTGTAAAAGGTATGGTCCTATGCACAAGTCATGAAAATGGCTGAGCATTCAACCAATTTCTGGCCATATGCTACAATTCTGTTTGTGTTTCCATAGCAAATACACACAGTGACTGATGAATTACAAGACTCTGATGCAACCACCAGACTAAGTATCTACATCGGAGCAGGGATCTCTGCTGGGCTGGCTCTGGTTCTCCTCTTTGGTGCTTTAATTCTCAGATGTAAGTCACTTGATGTTGTATCTCTCCTTCTGATAAGGAACTGCTAATATACAAACCAACATAAACTAGATATAAATATAAAGCTTATATAAGCTTTATATTTATATCTACAGATGATTAGACTAAAACTGTTTAGTTCTTCCAAACCCTAGCAATGATAATAGCTAATTTTGATTTGTATATGTAACAGGCAGGCATTGTTCTAAATGTTCTATATACTTTTTATCATAATCTCCTTATAAGGTAGGTAGGATTATTATCCCCTTTTTACAGTAGGGGAGAATGGAGTTTAGAGAGAGGAAGCCACTTTCAAGGATTGCAGATTCGGTAAGTGGCAAAGCCAGCGTTCTAATTCAGACAGGCTGATTCCAGTACCTGTTCTGGTCTTTTGTTAAGAAAATGAACCTTTTTAATTTATGAATATGTCTAGGTTTATTAGGAAGCACAACATTGAAAATCCTTCCCTTCTGTGACTTTTTCTATCTTCTTTGTTTCCCAGGTATATAGATCTTTAGAGTGAGGTGTCAAGTCTTTTTAATCCTGGGGCATGGCCAGGACTGCAGTGTGAGCATGTTCCTCCACCATGGCACTCAGCACATGCATTTTTATTTAAGTTACTTATCTTTATTTTTTTAAATGTTATTAAAGGATGAGTTATATACAGTAAACCTCATATTTAAAGTGTATTCAACTTGATGAATTTCAGTGGATGTTTTATTTATATTTTTATCTTTATTGTTGAATGTATTACAGATGTTCCTCATTTTTCCCCCATTGACCCCCTTCTCCCCACTCCTGCCCCCCCTGCCATCTTTTCCCACACTGTTGTCTGTGGCCATTGGTTATGCATATAAGTTCTTTGGATTATTTCTTCCCGCCTCCAACCCCCTTCCCTTTGAGGTTTGTCAGTCTAGCAACCAATTTGTACTTCTTAATCCTTTCACCTTTTTCACCCATTCCCCCAAGCCCCCTCCCATCTGGCAACCAACAAAATGTTCTCTGTATCTATGAGAATGTTTCTGCACTGCCTGTTCATTTTGTTTGTAGATTCCATTGTCGATAGATATGTATTCACTGCCATTTTGTTTGTTGATATATTTTATTTTTTTCTTCAAAAAGACCCTTTAAGACCCTTTATCATTTCATATAATAATGGTTTGGTGGTGATGAACTCCTTTAACTTTTTCTTGTCTGGGAAAGTCTTTATATGGCCATCGATTCTAAATGACAGCTTTGCAGGATAGAGTAATCTTGGTTGTAGGTTCTTGGTTTTCATCACTCTGAATATTTCTTGCCACTCCCTTCTGGCCTGCAAAGTTTCTTTTGAGAAATCAGCTGACAGGCTTATGGGAAGTCCCTTGTAGGTAACTAACTGCTTTTGTCTTGCTGCTTTTAAGATTCTCTCTTTTGCCCTGGCCAGTTTGGCTCAGTGGTTGAGCATCAGCCTGCAGACCAGAAAGTCCCGGGTTCGGTTCCTGCTAGGGGCATGTACCACAAAAAATTTAAAAAATAAAGGATTCTCTCTGTCTTGAACCTTTTGCATTTCGATGATGATGTGTCTTGGTGTGGACCTCTTGGGGTTCATCTTGTTTAGGACTCTCTGTGCTTCCTGGACTTGTATGTCTGTTTCCTTCACCAAGTTAGGGAAGTTTTCTGCCATTATTGTTTTGGATAGGTTTTCGATTTCATGTTCTCTCTTCTCCTTCTGGCACCCCCAAGATATGAATGTTGGCACACTTGAAGTCCCAGAGGCTCCTTACACTATCCTCATATTTTTGGATTCTTTTTTCTTTTTGCTGTTCTGATTGGGTGTTTTTTGCTACCTTATATTCCAAATCGATGGTTTGCTTCTTGGCTTTACCTACTCTACTCTTGAATCTGTGTAAATTATTCTTTATTTCAGTTAGTGCCTCCTTCACTTCTGGCTGGTCCTTTTTTATGCTCTTGAGGCCCTCACTAAGCTCACTGAGGTTCTCACTAAGTTCATTGAGCATCCTTATAAGCAGTATTTTGAACTCAGCATCTGTTAGGTTGTTTATCTCCATTTCACTTAGTTCTTTTCCTGGGGTTTTGTTCTGCTCTTTCATTTGGGACCTGTTTCTTTGTCTCCTCATTTTGGCTGACTCCCTGTGTTTGTTTCTGTATATTACTTAACAAGAGGTAAGGGTCTATCTGAAACCAGATGCTGCTTGTTTGAAAGAATTTAGGAAAACCTGATCCAAGACAGGCCACTCCTATGGTTAAGCAAGTGGCAACAGCTTGGGTGGGTCTGAAAGTTGGGTGGGGCGGGGCCTCAGGGAGTCACCAGGGCGGGGCTACCAGTGTGAGCCAGGTTGCTGGAGTTCCAGATATGGGGGCTGTCTGCCCCCAGGGAAGGGCTCACCAAAGGAACAAAGGCCTCTGACAGCACGTTTGTCCAGGAGAAAACCCCCTCTCCAGCCCTCGCTCCAGTGCCAAACAGCTCAGTTCTTCCCTGTATGTCTCTGGCGCCCCTCGAGCTGCCTCTCCTCCGAGCTTAGAGGGAGAGAGTCCGATAAGTCCGTGCGCGGGCCCTTTAAGGAGCTGCCTGGGGCTCCAGCCGCCTCAGCCTTCCTGAGCCTCAGTTCCTGCTGGTTTTTCCAGCCAGAAGTTATGGGGACTCTCTTCCTGGCACTGGAACCCTGAGCGGGGCACCTGGTGTGGGACGGGGACCCTCAGTCCTCAGGAAGGACCTTCCCTGCCGAGGTGTCCTCCTGATTTTTATCCGCCACACGTGGGTGTGGGACCAGCCCGTCCCCTCTGCCCCTCCTACCAGTCTCGATGCAGCTTCTTTAATTCCGTAGTTGTAGGACTTCCATTCAGCTGGATTTCAGGCGGTTTTGAATGAGGGTTGTTCTGTAGTTTAGTTGTAACTTTGATGTGGTTGTGGGAGGACATGATACCGCGTTTACCTACCCGCCATCCTGACCGGAAGTCCCAGTGAATGTTTATTACACCTGGTAATCTATTACCACAATCAAAACCCAAACACTTCCATCAGCCCCAGCCTCACACACTTTCAAAATTGTGATATATTCTCTTCTCTTTGATGGCAGAGGCCAAGGCCTTATTCTCCGGGACTTAGTGCATTCCAGAACTTTTCATACTAATACACAAACGTGGACTATGTGTAGGGTGACCAACTGTCCCACATTTGTCCAGGACTGAAGGGAGTTCCTAAGATGTGGGACTTCCAGTGCTAAAACTGGGACAGTGCAGGGAAAACCAGGGTAAACTGGTCACCCTAACTGTGTGGCTAGAAGCTGTCAAGTGCTGTATGTGCATTAAATTCTATAACTACACTACTGAGAAAGGTACTAATATTATTCTAACTCACCAGATGGAGAACCAACTTGCTGAAAGGTTCAGTAGCATGCCCAAAGTCACACAATTGCTGGATACAGGATTGGAAACCAGGGCTCTCCTGTTTCTCACTGTTGTGTGATTTTGCCATTATTGCTAAATGAACTGTGTAGAAAAAGAAACTATGCTACCTCCATTTACCAGGGTTTACCAAAGGTAGTAGTGGAGTTGTGAACTGATCACATGAATATGACATCTGTGGGTTGACAAGGAGCAGCAACACTCACTACCTTTTTGGGTACTGCCAAGGCCCGAATATTAGGGACCGTTCTAGTATGTGTAAAGAGGTTTGGAGGGAGGGTAATGAAGACTGGGAAGTCTGACATTTTGTACACACACACAGGAGTGGGCAAAAGCAGGTTTACAGTTGTTGTATGGAAAAATATACAACATAAGAATAATTAATAATACAAAAATAAACTGTGTTTTGTGTACTCACAAATGTACCAGCTTTTGCTCACCCCTGTATATCTCCAAAATCATAGCTACTTAGAAGAAAGATGGGAGGTCCTGTTCGATTTGCTTAGATCTCTTCCCTAGAAGTTGCTCAAGAAAATCTTACAACCAAGATGACAGGTTTTTAAGTCATGACACCCAAGCTCTAAACTGGCTCAGTAATGCACTGCAGTCCTGTATCTTTCTAGTGTACTCTGAGATGAACATCCGTACCTCACTGCCATTCAAGCCTCCCTCATTTCTCACTCAGCTGATGCCTCAGGCAAGACTTCATTCCTCCTTCCCTCCCTTTCTCTAGAATTTTCCCACGCTTTTTTCTTTTTTTGTACATGCCCGTAGTGTGAACCGAATTCAGGACTCTCTGGTCTGCAGGCGGCACTCCAACCACTGAACCAAACTGGCCAGGGCTTCCCACGTTTTTTATGCATGTGATTTTCATTAATGTGAAAACACGTTCTAGTTGATACATTCCTCTCCAGCTGCTCCCACGTCCCTGCTCTCCTTCACAGCCGTATTTCCCAGAAGACTTGTTCCTGCTTCTCACCCCCAACCCCCTCCTTCTCACTTGCCAACCTACCATCTAACTTTTACCCCTAAAGCATCATGGAAATAGTTTAGTCAAGCTCACCAATGACCTCTAATTTTGCTAAATGCAATAGACACCTTTATCTTCATTGTGGTCAATCTTTCAGCAGTATTGAAGTTGACTCTCTCTCATTCTAGAAAGTCTTCCTTCTCTTGGTTTCTAAAACTCCACTCTCCTACTTCATTGGCCATTCCTTTTGGGTCGTTTTTATTTCCTCTTCAGCTTGACTTTTAGATGTTGAGATGCCTCAGGGCTGGCCATTTCCCTCTCTCTATACCTCTACATGATGACCTATATTTTCATAGCCGTAAATATCATCTTTTCTTGTTGTTAATCCTCACCCAAAGATATTTTTTTTATTGATTTTTAGAGTGAGTGGAACAGAGGGAGTGGGGGAGAGAGAGAGAAACATTGATGTGAAAGAGACTTATTGATTGGTTGCCCCCTGCACATGGGGCAGGTATCAAACGAGGGCTGGGTATCAAACCTGCAACCCAGGTATGTGCCCTTGACTGAGAATCAAACTGGCAACCCTTTGGTGTGTGGGCTGATGCTCTAACCATTTAGCCACACTGACCAGGGCTTTAAATGTCATTCTTAATATCTCTCTCCAACGTTCAGAATGTTTGTCCAATTGATACATCCACTTAGCTGTCTCCCACATTTAACATGTCCCGTGGAACTCTAGAGTCTATAGTGTACCATCCTAGAATGCATCCTCTCCCTCCCCGGTTCTCCCTATCACTGTGTTACACTGCCACCCATCTGACTTCTTAAACCAGAAAGCCAGAAGCCATCCCTGAATCCCCTTTCCTCACTCCTACTATACAATTCAAGTCCGATTCCTGCAGCCTTTCTCCAAAATATATCTAAAATCCATTTGTCATTCTGCATCTCTCTTGGTCACTACCTTACTCTGAGGCACCATCATCCCTAATTATTTCCACACTTCTTTATATCTCCTTTTAATCCAATTTTCTCGTAGCAGCCTGAGTGATCTTCCTAAACCCAATCACATCATATTTCTGCACTTTGTTATTTCTTACAGGTCTTAGAATAAAATCCAAACCTTGATTATGATTTAAAAGGTCCGATAGATCTAGCTCTAGCCTACCTGTCAGACCTTAGCGTGGGCCACTCCCTTATTTCAGACGTGTTTTCAGTTTCAGGCACTCACCAGGATCTCTATCAGGGGCTTTCTCTGCCTCAGATGCTTCTGGCTCTTCACCTGGCTGACTTTCAGAGTCAGTCTTCAAGGTCACCTTTTCTGAGAGAGCTTTCCTGACCACCTTCTCTATTCTCCGTTCCAGTGCATTGTTGGCTTCCTTTATATCACATCACAGTGGGAAATATTATTGTTACTATTATTATTTTTAAAATCCACCTTCGCTAGAACATAAGCTTAACAAAAAAGGGCTCATAAATTATCTTTGTATCCTTGGTGTTTAGCATACTACGTACCAGCCACGTAGTAGGTTTCCATGTGTTTGTTAAATATGAAAATGCATCTTTATTACTTTCTAGCCTAGTTCATGTAATAAACCAAGACACACATTGGTAGTTTGATTTAATTAAATCTAAGGGGAGACCAGATTTCCTTAAACAATCCTTGCCTCCAGTGATCCCATTTTATTTCTTGTCTCTTTTATTTTATGAAAATAGTTTTAATTTACTTTTCTTCCCTTTTTAACCTAGGGTATTCTCATAGGAAAGAGAAGTTACAGAATTCAAGGTAAGAATAAGGGTGGGGTAGGGGGAAGTGGGAAACAGGGACGTTCTACACTACTATGACTTTGATCTTTGCTCTGAGAAGTCCTGCCATGGGGCTTTGGGATCTAATCTTATAGTTCCTTCTGCTTTAGGCCTAGATTCATGAAATGTAAACATGCTGCTCTGTTTACTTCCTGATTCCTTTAGCTTCCTTAGTCCTAAAGTTAAGGTATAGAATTTATCTCCCCACGATGAGAAATGCTTATTTATTTCTATGTTAACCTGCTAACCGGGGAATAACCGGGGAATTCCCTCTTCACTGTATGCAACGTTTGACGTATTTTTATGTCCCGCTCGGTTAACAGGTTAATGGGTCTTTTCAGTCATCTGACTCTTCAGTTGACTGAGCATTTACTACATCTAGGCTGTGGTCTGGGCGTTGGGCCCTGTAAGTGAGCAAGAAACCCAGAATTTACTCTCAGGCCTTTTATAGCCCAGTCCAGGTGTTCTTAACTCTGATAACCGATTAGAATCACTTACACAATCTGTTGTCGATGACCCCAGAGCAAATGAACCAGATTCTTTAGGGATGAGGCCCAAGCATAGGTATTTTTTTTTTTTAAAGCTTCCCAAGTGATTCTAATGTGTAAATAGGGTTGAGAACTGCTGGTCCTTTATATTGCAGTCTTAGTTTCCATTCCTGACTATATTCACATGTGTCCACACACATGCATTCACCCCAATTCCAAACACATATAGCTTACATAACTTTTACTACATTTGACCAACATTAGGCACATTGGTAGAATGCAGTATATTTCAAGAAAAAAAATTGACTCTGTTCACTGAATACTATCTAAAACAATAATTTTAGTAGAAAATTATTATTTATGAAGTCGAAACAAAATATTTATGAAGACAAAGGAGTCGGCAGTAAACAGTCAGAAGTAAAAAAAGGTCAAGTAAAATATCTATCAATGGTTTTAGGTTATTTGTGTCACTATTCTTTCTTAGATCTGAAACTTGAATGTGATAACATTCATAGGTAATATTTACATGCATTAATTCACTATTTGTGACATCATTTGGTTAATATAAAGGTGCACTCCGTAGAAAATAAGGAACTTGTCTGCCACTATAACAGCTGTATTCTCTAGCACAGCACCTGATACTTAGAGGCATTTAATAAATATTTGATAATTGAATGAAGAAATGCTACTTAGAGCAGCCTGGTGTGATAGAGTGCCAATAATTCCCATTTTACAGATGACGATCCTGAGACACAAAGTTCACTAGTATGTAGCCTTCATGGGATTTGTGTGCTTTATTCACTGCTGTATTTCTTGCTGCACAGAGCAGTGTGTAACACACTAAATATTTCCTGAGTAAATGAATAAAAAAACAAAATCCAGTTTACCCAAGATTATATGACTGGTATGTGACGGAGACAGAATTCAAACTCAAACTCTGACTGGATACATATCATTTTTTTTTTGCATTTTGAAATTGTTCCAGGCCATATAACAATGGAAATAATAGCACAAGGAACAATAGAATCCTTCACCATGATGTATAATTTAATATTTTAATAGGTTTGCTTTATCTATTTATTTATACATAATTTTTTTTTTCCCCTGAACCATTTTGAGGACGTTTTAGACATCTTGACACTTAACTAAACCTCAGTCTATACCTCCTAAGATAAAGGATATTCTCTTAGATCACACAATGTCATTATTATACCTAACAAAATTCTGATTAATTCAAATTGTCTTAATGTTCCTCAAATTATTCTACTTTATGATTCACTCCTAGTCAGGACCCAATCAAGCATCATCTATTGCATTTGGGCTGTCTCTTCAGCAAAGTCTCTTCTCTTCATTCTCCATTGCCAGGGAAATGTCACCTCAACTGCAACATTTTGTTTCCACAGCCTCATCACATTGGCTAACCTCCCTCCCACCGGGATAGAAAATACAGTAGCAGAAGGGATGCGTGCAAAGGAGAATATCTACACCATTGAGGAGAACGTGTATGAAGTGGAGGATCCATCAGAGTATTACTGCTATGTCACCAATGGGCAGCAATCCTGACACCCTCTGGGTTGTCACCAGTCTATGCCATGAGCCCCAGCCTCCTTTTTGAGCCTGTGTTGTCTTCTTCTTTTAAAACTATCAGCTGTGTCAGCGGATTGGCTTTAAGGTCCTGCCCATGGCTACTGAACATTCTTTTTCCATTTTCTCAAGATAACTAGCTGATGTGAGTACTGAACCATGACCTGCCCAATACTCAGACGTGTTACATTACCTCTGCATTCCAGCCAACAGATTACTCATCTCAGACATGCTAATCAGGACATTAGAACTGAAATGACCTTCTCTGAAAAGTAGGAATTCTTACTACTGGGTTTCCTGGATTCCAGGAATTTCAGTCCCATGAGGTGTCCAGAGGAAATTACATGCTGAGGAGTGTGCATGTCTTTTTGGTACAGAAAGTCTAAAGGGGCCACTGATTTTCAAAGAGAACAGTGACTCATACGAGGTTAAGAAACGACTGGAGCAGAATAGATGGTCCTGAAGGTTGCCTTTGAGTCTCAGGTTTCTGCTTCTTTGAATGAAGACTCCTGGTAGTAAATGCTCTGCAGACCTCTCCTTTTCCAGGGAAGAAGACAGCCCAGCGGGCCGGGGGTGTGGCAGGAGCCCCTGGAGAAAAAAAGAAGCACACGTGGCGTGTGTGGTCAAGTTCTGCTTGGGGCGCACTCAAAAAGAAATGTCTCTGACCAACTTCTCCATCCATGGAGAGAACTGGAGCCGTGTTTTCCACAGAGGGGGAACAGTGACTGGCACGTCAGTTCCATTTCCTGGTGGGCAGAGGCAGAGGGCTCCAGCGATCCGTGCTCCTCAGCATCCGGCCCCTGAGCTGCCAGCCAAGGTTGTGGAGACCAGGTCTGCCTCACTCAGTTGTCGCCTCTGCTCTCACACGTAATAGACATTTACTAAATATCTTTGGAGGGTAAACATTAAATACACAGAAAAGTAGCTTTCTGGCAAGACTTTTAGACTTAGAGCTGAGACAGAGCCTGACTCCTTGGAGAACTCACGCACACCCCTCAGCGCCACGTGTGCGCTTCTGCAGGAAAGTGGCTGCTGTTCCTCTGCATCGTGTCCCATGGCAGGAGCTGGGACGTTTGTTACTCCCTTGTCTATTTCCCCTTTCTGCTGAGCCTCCTTAATGTGCACCTGTCACTGCCTGAAAACGGCCCCTCCCTGGGTGACGACTAAGCTGCTGCTACGCTGTATGCCATGGATGTCAGTCACCTGGAGGGAAGGGACTTCAGAACACACTTGGACCAGATCACTGGTTCCCCTCCAAAGGAGAACCTTGCCCTGCATGTATACACGGATTATCATTGCAGTGATGTTTGCAAGAGACTTTCCCATCAGTAGGGGAACAGGTGGTTATTGTGGTTCATCAGCACACTGGTGCAGGTATAAAGAATTCAGTGGTTTCATCACTGAGTTGTTTTGCTATTCTAACAATTATCTATTAGTGCTTCCTATGTGCCAGGTAGTCTGATGCTGAGACCAGCGAGAGAAACCAAAAGATGCATTTCTGACCCCACAGAACTTCTAGTCTGACAGTCAGGAGTGTTCGTTCCATCCATTTTTCTGTGAACATTCATTGGCATCCACTTTGTCAGGCACTGTTTCAGTTCTAGGAATAGAAGAGTGAGGAAGCAGATGAAACCTTTTCTCTGACAACACTTATTTACTTGTCAGCGGAGCGTGCTCTATTGCTAATTCTAAAGAAAAAAAATCTTCTAGAATAGAATATATAGTGGATGCATATTTTTTCTTTAAAATATATCTGGAGCCCGGCTGGTGCGGCTCAGTGGTTGAGCATCGACCCATGCACCAAGAAGTTGCTAGTTTAATTGCTGGTCAGGGCACATGCCCAGGTTGTGGGCCCGATCCCCAGTGGGGGGCATGCGGGAGGTGGCCAATTGATGGTCTCTCTCATCGATGTTTTCATCTCTCTTCCTCTTCCTCTAAAATCAATAAAGAAAAATATTTAAAATAAATAAATAAATAAGTAAAAAATAAAATATATCTGGAAGAATATACTCAAATTAATATGGTTACCCCACAGGGGCAAATGGTCAAGAGATAGACTTTCATTTTTTCCTTTTACATGCTTTTGTAATTGTTTGATGATCTCCATTTTTTTTTTTTTGTAATTAAAAGATAAGATTTAATCATTATTGCAATGTTTTCTCGTCTGTCCTCCACTTCATAGAATGAAAAAAAGACTAGGACAGGTTAACTTAAAGATCAAGGCCAGCAGTAGAGTGTGGTAGCTAACCAGGACTTGAATCCTGGTTTTCAGAGTAGGATCCACTTTGTATCAATTATCTGGAATGGAAAGGATGTCAGACAGAGGAATGAAAAGTTACTGTAAGTGCCCTGGAGATGACAAGTGGTAACTTAATTTCAAATTGTAATAAGATTGAACATGTGGTTTGTTTATAGAAGTGCCTTAGAGCCTGGCCGGTGTAGCTCAGTGGTTGAGGGTCGACCCCTGCACCAAGAGGTCACCAGTTCGATTCCCAGTCAGGGCACATGCCCAGGTTGTGGGCCCGATCCCCAGTGGGGGGCATGCAGGAGGTGGCCAATTGATGTTCTCTCTCTGATGTTTCTGTCTCTCTCTCCCTCTCCCTTTCTCTATCTCTAAAATTAATAAAGAAAAAAAAAGTGCCTTAGAGTTTTTCCCCCCAGAGCTTTGCGTAAGATACTCATAGGATGTGAAAAGAGGCCCCATTATCTATTTGGGCTAAAAAAGTAAAGTCTTACTATGTTTTATCTGTCTGTTACTTTTTCTAGATTTGAAATTCCAGAAGCAGAAATTCCAAGTCATTCCTTGTTTTATTGCACTTTGCTTTACGGTGCTTCACAGGTGTTGAGGTTTTTTGTTTGTCTGTTTGTTTTTTCCAAACTGGAGGCAGGGCCCTCCATCAGCAAAATGATTCTGACTCACTTTATTGTAGGTGGTCTGGAGCTGAACCCACAACATCTCCAAGGTGTGCCTGAAAATGATTTTGGGACATCCCCGTGTGCCTATTCCCACTGAAAGTTACATTTTATTCTCGTTTAAAGTTCAATTAAACAACACATTCATTCGTCTCCAGATTTCTATTGAGAAAGTGTGGCTCCTTCTGGAGATAAGAAGAGATGCCCTAGAGTTCTAATTTTTAAGACTTTCCATCGCCTTCTCTGGGATGCAGGTGGGAAGTGGGAAGAGGAGTGGGGCCGCCGCACCATTTGGGTGAAGGTTCTCCAGCTTAAGTAGGGTTTGGATTTTGGCTGATTTTCAATGGGAACTTGTGCAAAGAGCAGTATGAGTCAGAAATGTTAGTTTCAGGCTTCTAAGTCCTCTGTATTTTTTTTTTTTTTAAATATGGCTCTAGAGTCTGAGTATTTTTTAAAATTAAAAAAAAATTATTTTAGAGAGAGAGGAAGGGAAAGGGAGAGAGAGAGAAACATCGATGAGAGAGAACATTGAATGGCCGCCTCCTGCACGTCCCCCACTGGAGATCGGGCCCACATCCTGGGCATGTGCCCTGAGCGGAAATTGAACCGGCTACCTCTTGGTGTTGGGTCAACGCTCAACCACTGAGCCACACCAGCCAGGTTAAGTCCTCTGTATCTTTTCTCAGTTATACTGACTGCAGTTATAAAGGACATTCCAAGTTACTCATTTACTCATAGGAGTGATATTTTTTTCTGAATTCTTGTTCAAATTCCGTCTGCTTATGGTGTGACTCTCTTTTCCCAGATGAAGCAGTGAGATTTAAAAAAAAACACACTTTTTAAGCTATTCATGTGTGGTAATGGTGGTGAAATATTTGTTTAAATATGCATATTATTTTAATATGGTTGTTTTGTGGGTACATCACCATTAGAAAATATCTCATTATAATAGCTTATAGTGCGTACTGGCTTCATGTTTTGTGATAAGTTGATATGCTGTCTTTTGTAATTTTTACATTTGGTATTTCTACTTTTTGATTCATTTTAAACTTAGTTCATGTAAAATAGAAATATTCTGCACTCCAATGTACATATATCTATACATCCAAAATATTTTAATTTTATTATCTACACTTTTACTTGCCATTACCTCTCAGTTACTTGCTGAATTTAATTCTTGTTCATGAAATACTCAAGTAAAATGTAACAACTGTGTAAATGTAGATTAAGGTTGTTTCACACAGTTTTGTTATACTAATACTATAGCTGTATCTCAAAGTTTGCCACCAGAGCTTAGCAAAAATCTTTGACCTTTGTACTGACTAAGACTGAGAGTTGAAGTGAGGACCCTGTGGCGAGAGGGCTTGGAAACCTGCCAGCTGCTCAGACCGCAGTCACGTTCTCGGAGAGCTGTGCTTGCTTTGTTGTCTCCAGCAACTCTTACTCCAGCAAAAATGTTTACTAGGCAGGCAGCAGCCAGATAGTTTCTAATCACGATGGAGAAAAGAGCTATCTGATCTGGTGGAATTTCAGATAAAAACTAAGAAGTATGGCAGCTAGCTATCCTCGCTATTTTATTTTAAGCAAATTCCGTTACAAAGGACACTGGGTGGGGAAGCCAATTTGGAGCCTCTGGGTAAGAATCTCTCTTTAAGCGGAAGACATCCAACTTGTTAAGTTGCTTGTTTTCTTTCTTTCTTTTTTATTTTTTTAATAAACTTTTTATTTTGAAATAATTAGAGAATGTCTGGCCGGTGAGGCTCAGTGGAGTCCGCACTGTCCGATGGACTGAGAGGTCCCAGGTCCATTCCTGGTCAGTGCGCATGCCCAGGTTGTGGGCCAGACCCTCAGTGCAGGTGTGCAGGAGGCGGCCGATCGGATGATTCTTTCTCACATCAATGTTTCTATCTCTCTCCCTTAAATAAATCAATAAAAAACATTAGCAAAAAAACTAAATAATTTGAGATTTACAGAAATTAACAACAATTCACCAGTTTTCTCTAATGTTAACAGCTAACATAACCAGGGTACAAAACTAAAATGTTCACATTCGTACGATACTATTATCAAAACTACAAATTTTTCTTGGATTCCTACTATTGGTTTGAAAACTAAAATGTTCACATTCGTACGATACTATTATCAAAACTACAAATTTTTCTTGGATTCCTACTATTGGTTTTTAAAAATTTTCAACTAAATGCTCTTTGAAAAATATAGTAGAGTTTAGGTTACAGGTATAAGTCCTTATTCCCCATCCTCCTCATCGAACCTCCTTTCCTAATCCCACTCCCTAGGAATAATCAGTGTTATTGCTTTATTTTTCTAGACCAGAGCTGTTCGGCAAAATTACAGTGAGAGCTATATGGGCAATTTAAACTTTTCTACTAGCTACGTTCAGAAAAAGAGTAAAAAAGAAGTGAAATTAATTTTAAGTATATGTTTTATTTAACTCAATTCACCTTGAGAATTACTTCAATGTAGATAAATATATACATCATTAATGAAGTTTTTTTTTTTTAATTGCAAGTCTCCAAAATTCAGTGAGTATTTTACATTTAGAGCACATCTCAGTTCTGACTAGTCACACTTTAGTGCTCAACAGCCAAGTGGTCAGTGGCTACAGTATTACCACACTTCTGAACCATTCTCTGTTCTCTCTCTTCCTTGTACACATATGTTATAAGTTACTTTCCCCCACTATTTATAGAAGGCCATCGGATGTCAGAAAACATGGCTCAACAGTCTTTATTTATATAGCTATGTAGTATTAAGTAGAAAAAATGTGTAATAATCTGTTAAATTACTTTCCCATGTACAGCTATTTAGGTGTTTTTTGTTTGTTTGATTTTCCCATTTCAGATAAGGCTGCAAGGACAGTCCTCTATATAAAAACCTATGTGCCTGTGTGTACCTATGTGTACATTTGTGTTCAAGGTAGACAGTTCTAGACATGGAATTGCTGTGTCGATGGGATTGTGAAGTATGACTATGGAACAAATAATATACTTTAAAACAAATATGCCAGTCAGATTTGTATTATTTTTTACTAAATATGTATTACTAAGTATGTATTATTTTTTCTTAAGGCAGTCATTTTAGAAAACCATTCCAGCAATGTTCCTTTCACTCAAAATAATTTGCTTTTGTTTTTCGAAATTGGACTTAAGGACCAGTTTAAGCTATAATACCTAGGCGAAATGAATCCCCATAGGTCTCATTCCTTTGTAATCACAGTTGTTATTTATTAACTTATTTATTTCCTCCATCTCCCCTCCCTCCACCTTTATTCCTCCATCCGGCACCCACCAACTCACCCACCCCCTCATCCATTTCATCCATCCAAGAAACAGTTTCCTAATCGGTATCCCCCATTCCACTTTACTCTCCGAACAGTTCATTCTCTTCACACAGAAGCCTATATATTTTTCTTTTCTTTTAAAAAAATCATCA